GTTCAGTACATCAGTCAATTTGGTGAAAAGTAGTTTCTCGTGTTGGAGGAATTTAGGAAGGACCTCCTTGAAACAAATAGCTTCAAGACAAATGATAGAAATTACCAAAACACTCCAGACAAAGAACTCAGGGTCAAAATATACTTATCCGCAAAAAATAATCGTCAGTCAACACCCTTTTGAGTAAATTAAAAGGAACATGATAATAGGCACAATATGGATTTACCTCTTATTACCTTACCAAATAACGCCTTTCAGCGAAATTATAGCAATGAAAGAATAAAACAGTAGGGTTTAATTCAATATACGTGGGTGCATGAGCATACAAAAAATGAGACTTAAAAAAATTAGAAAATGGCGCATTTAATATGCAGGAATCAGCACTACCAAAGGAGGATTTACAAATCCCTCGAAAAAGGCGGCAGCACGAATAAGGGGAGAGGGTTACCTTTGCGACTGCTGAATTACTTCAGAGTCGTGAGGCAAAATAATCGCACATTTTACCGAGAGCAACTTCACGGAGGCAAAGGCAGCTCCATGAGGCATTGATGAGGTCAAGCAGAAACTAGTAGATTTGGTAGTAATGGGAGGAAAAGAGTAATGAGGCGCAATTCGTAGGCCTTGTGCCAAACCGAGCAAAGGAGCACACACAAAAAGTAATAGATAATCGGGTACGAACACAATAAAACCATCCCCTGGAACCTCGATAAATTCCTACATCGAGAAATGTGTCTGAAAACCATGCAATCGGTCTCACAACATCGCCGTGGGTGTTCATTACCTCCTCAACTCTTATGCATGCAAAGTCTAGAGGGAATCCTAACTTGATTAGAGAGAACTCTTCAATTGGTAGGTGACTAAATTCCATGCATCAAGAAACAATGACTGACATCTCCGGTGCTACTGGTACCACTGTATCAAGAATGTTCGCATCGCCATGAATACAAAACGCATTCAGACACACGACGTTGATGATGGGGTTTCAAAATAAAACACGGTGATACAAAAGCCTATTCAGTTTGTATGCACATTAAAATATCTTAAAGTGAGCGTACTTTTACCGTATAGGAACAAAAGTAGGCAATTAAAGTCCCAATTGAAATTATTTAGGCTTTTATTCAAAAGAGGCTAGCTTTTGCTCCCGGGTCATCTTTAAGCTGGTAAAACTTGTGTGGGAAATGAAGCAGGTGGTGCATAAAAGTGTCGAAGAAATATGAGGAAGGAGGAAGCACCAGTAAGCAGCAAATCCGTGTCCCTATCCATCCGAGGTGGACGCAGTGGCCGTTCAAGTTTTGTTTTTGGAAGTGACAAATCTCTCTCTAGTAGGCAGGGT